AATTAAAATAAGCATGTAACGACCACAAACGGAGGAAAATAGCGGAGTAAAAGTACCGATACATCACTTAAAATGTACTCAAGTAAAAGTAAAAGTACACAATTTTTAAACTACTCAAAAAAGTACAATTACTGATAAAAACTGTAACGTGAGTATTTGTAATTCGTTACTTCACACCCCTGGCAACAACTGAGCATAATGCAATACTGAAAACTAAGGTTGCGGGAGGGAGAAAACGTTTTGTCTCTTTAAGTGATGAAAAACTGGATGATATTTGGAAATATGCAAAATCCATTTAGTTATGTAATCGTGCCAGAGCTTAAATGATTGTAGGATGTATAGATCTGCATTAAATAATTCCACTCTATACCTTAAGAGTAAAACACAAACCTATGAGCTGCAGTTTTATTACATCACGCGCTGGCACAGATGCAGTAATGCCACGGGTCATCAATAAGGTGCAGATTGGGTGAATCAGCAGCATCCACAACTGAACGGAACAAAAAGTGTTGAACTTGAAAATTGTTCATGCGCGAGTGTACTTGTTAATTGAAGGCGCATTGTATAAAATGGATACAAAAAAAAATGTTATTAATGAGCTGCAGTTTTATTACATCACGCTAGGATGTATAGATCTGCATTAAATAATTCCACTCTATACCTTAAGAGTAAAACACAAACCTGTACCATCACCCAATGTCTTTCCTTTTTTTTTGGAGTGAATTGTCTATTTAAAGGTGACCTATTATGCCCCTTTTTACGAGATTTAAAATACGTCTCTGATGTCCGCAGAGTGTTTATGGGAAGTTTTAACTCAAAATACCCCACAGATAATTTTTTATAGCTTGTTGAAATTGCCACTTTTAGGGTATGAGCCAAAACGCACCGTTTTTGTGTTTGTACCTTTAAATGCAAATGAGCTGGTGCTCCCGCCTCCCTTTTCAGAAGAGGGCGGAGCTTCAAGATGTCATGCTCCAGTATACCGCCAACAACAAAACAGGACAATCTCATGCAATCTGATTGTACTGTGCAGTAAATGCGCTTATGAATTACACATATGGGAGCATGGCGCAATAACAATAGCGACATAGCTGGTCTCATGGTGCCTTCGCATGCTATCACATTATGAGCTCAACAAATTCAAGCGGTCGACTTTACATTGCTTCCATATGCAATTTTTAACTACCACATTCTTATTTACGATCATTCTGGTAGCACGTAAAGGCAGCATCAGTGAAAACAAGCAGAGACAATGGTAGCTTTAGCAACATTAGCCTTACAAAGAGCCAAGAAGCTCTTTTGAAAAACAAAATATGACGCGTGATGCTTACTTTGACTGGACGTTCGCGCACGAAGCGTTGGTATCGATGCCTCTTTCAGAATCAACCTTTGCACAACTCCAGCGCTGAACTGACCCTCGTTTGTGAGGATTACTGATAAAAACTGTAACGTGAGTATTTGTAATTCGTTACTTCACACCCCTGGCAACAACTGAGCATAATGCAATACTGAAAACTAAGGTTGCGGGAGGGAGAAAACATTTTGTCTCTTTAAGTGATGAAAAACTGGATGATATTTGGAAATATGCAAAATCCATTTAGTTATGTAATCGTGCCAGAGCTTAAATGATTGTAGGATGTATAGATCTGCATTAAATAATTCCACTCTATACCTTAAGAGTAAAACACAAACCTGTACCATCACCCAATGTCTTTCCTTTTTTTTTTGGAGTGAACTGTCTATTTAAAGGTGACCTATTATGCCCCTTTTTACAAGATTTAAAATACGTCTCTGATGTCCCCAGAGTCTTTATGGGAAGTTTTAACTCAAAATACCCCACAGATAATTTTTTATAGCTTGTTGAAATTGCCACTTTTAGGGTATGAGCCAAAATGCACCGTTTTTGTGTTTGTACCTTTAAATGCAAATGAGCTGGTGCTCCCGCCTCCCTTTTCAGAAGAGGGCGGAGCTTCAAGATGTCATGCTCCAGTATACCGCCAACAACAAAACAGGACAATCTCACACAATCTGATTGTACTGTGCAGTAAATGCGCTTATGAATTACACATATGGGAGCATGGCGCAATAACAATAGCGACATAGCTGGTCTCATGGTGCCTTCGCATGCTATCACATTATGAGCTCAACAAATTCAAGCGGTCGACTTTACATTGCTTCCATATGCAATTTTTAACTACCACATTCTTATTTACGATCATTCTGGTAGCACGTAAAGGCAGCATCAGTGAAAACAAGCAGAGACAATGGTAGCTTTAGCAACATTAGCCTTACAAAGAGCCAAGAAGCTCTTTTGAAAAACAAAATATGACGCGTGATGCTTACTTTGACTGGACGTTCGCGCACGAAGCGTTGGTATCGATGCCTCTTTCAGAATCAACCTTTGCACAACTCCAGCGCTGAACTGACCCTCGTTTGTGAGGCAGTCAGGCGTAAAATGATTAGCACAAACATATAGGACTTTTCCGGGGGGGGGTTTCAGGGCATTTCCTTCGAAAATAAAATTCAACCACCGTGTCCTCAGTGATCTATACACTCCTATGTTCGTTGGTGCATCCCAACACACGACACTTGTAATGCCTCTTTGGCGCTGACATTGTATCTCCAGCAGCTACAGTGAGAAAACAGTAATGGCGGACTGCTGCTTCTCACTCAGGGCTGTGTCTATGCTAATAGGGCAGAGATCGTCACAAATGGGCGGGACTTTCCCTAGTATGATGTCATTATAGGGAGAAATCTGAAACCGCTCGTTTGGAGAGACTGTTTATGATTTATTGGAATTATAAAAAAATGAGCGAGTGGATTTTTACCATTATAGGCTGGTTGTTTTCACACACTGGGGCCGCACAACTGTGTTCAAACACCTTATAAAAGTGCATAATAGGTCACCTTTAAACTGCACAAAAACATCATATTATCCAGCATCCAATGATGGTTTATTTTAGAGATGTCCCACTCAGTTTTTTGCGCCCCTGATCTGATCCGAGTCATTGAATATTGAGTATCTGCCGATACCGAGTCCCGATCCGATACTTGTGTGAAAATATGAGGTATTGTCCAGTTTAAAACCACCACAGAAGTTTACCTGAGGTAAAGACCACACTCAGAAACTAAACAACTAACAGAGTTTTGGAGTTCTGCCTTAAATGTGGCTGTGCAATTTAATTAATGGTAATTTAATTGCTGTGTAATTTAATTACAAAATAAATGTAACTGTAATCTGTTACAAAGAGGGTTACATCTGAGTATTTTCACACACCCACATACAGATTTAATTGAATTATTTCCCGAATTGCAGTGACTGCTCTAAAATATGAAACTCCAATGTTTCAGGAGTTGAGGACACATGCTTATTTGATAACTGTTTTATTTCCTATTTAGGTTTATGTATATGCTTTATTTTTTTTAAGATGAACTGTTTTTCCAAGGCGTTGTTTCCTGTCATAGCTATGCAAAGATTTGATTTCAAAAACAGTATCATAGCAATTAAACTATATATTATGATTTTAAATCTGTATTTAACCTCAAAAAGTAAAAAGAGGTGCTGAAGTCTGATTTTGTGGTGGCTGTGCTTTAAAATTGAATTATAATATATATTTAATATATATTTAATATTTATTGAAATTATAATAATTAATTCAGGTGATGAAGGATTTTGAAGTGATCAGTGTTGAGTGCGACTGTAAGGTTAGCCCCAAATGTTTGAAAATGATTAACAGTTGAAAATATTCGCTAGAAATGTAGAAAATGATCAAATGTAATCAGTTACATTACTTTCATAAAGTAATTGAAATAGTTACACTACTTATTACATTTTAAACAGGGTAACTTGTCATCTGTATTCTATTACATTTCCAAAGTAACGTTCCCAACACTGATCTGTTGTTGTTTCTTTTTGTATTTGACTTTTTTAGGATGTTTCACATGTGTCCTTACAAGAGAAACTTAAACATGGAGAAACAATGAAAGAAGAGTTTGAGAAAACAGTTCAACACATCAAGGTGAGCACTGATTCTTCTGACGTAATTACAAATTGATTAAAACAGCCAAATTGGTTTGTCTGACATAATTACGTTCATTTATTGAGTGCAACACACAGAAATATTGGGTAGAATGGTGAAACGCATGTATTTATTTACATGCATAATAATTATATAAATTGTAAACGGTTCTTTGCTGTTCAGATATTATATTTTTTTCTAGTCTGGAATTAAAACCCTCATATAGTTGGTAAAGCGTCAGGTCTGTTTATCCTGTGATGCCACCACTTTAGATGGTTTCTGTCGGGATTCTTGACACTTGGGTTGAAGCTCTTTATAGAAACATCTGGCAAGGTGGAGGGATGATCTCTCTTTATTCTGGGTACAAAAATAGAGATTTTCAAATATAATCATAAAGACATGTCATGTATCTGTGTACTGAAGTATTTTAATATCAGATGTCCGATGACAAATCTTCTTTAATATTTTAATTCACTATCCAGGGTCAAATAAGGCAGACAAAGAGTTAACAAACATGAGACCCAAACAGGCAGTATATACAGAAGCAGAAACTCCACCCTCTTACAGCACTTACCAGGAAGTGACTGTCTTAATATTTCTCCTTTCTGTTATACTGAATGTCGACAAAAATATAAAGGAATTAGTGATCAGTAGAGAAAGAAGAGAAATACTTTCAAGAAGGATTTTTGAGAAGTTTGTTTCTAAACAGACAGCAGATATTTGTGATTCTCGTAGTTTTTCATTTTTACAACATTCAGAAAGTGAAAGTAAAGTTTAGATCGCTGGAGCTCAAAGAGTGAAAATGGATTCACTATCTGCAGATGATTTTTCTTGTCCTGTGTGTATTGAAATCTTCAAGGATCCTGTTGTTTTATCATGTAGTCACAGTGTCTGTAAAGAGTGTCTCCAACAGTTCTGGAGAACCAAGGAAACTCAGGAGTGTCCTGTCTGCAGGAGAAGATCCTCAAGAGATGATCCTCCATGTAATCGTGTTTTAAAAAACTTGTGTGAGTCGCTTCTGAAGGAGAGAAAAGAGAAGGGTTCATCAGAGTTTGAGGAGCTCTGCAGTTTACACAGTGAGAAATTCAAACTCTTCTGTCTGGAGGACAAACAGCTGGTGTGTTTAGTGTGCAGAGATTCACAGAAACACGTCAATCACACATTCAGACCCATCGGTGAAGTTGTTCCATCATACAAAGTAAGACGGATTTAAATCTGAGGATATAAACTTATATAAGTTGTATATCATATACATATTTCTTTACACCATTTTGCATTTGTGTATTATGTACGCAAACATATTACAGAAATCTCTGGTGTCTTACAGATTTTCATTTTAATTTCAGGAGGAGCTCAATACAGCACTGAAGTCCCTACAAGAGAAACTTACACACAACGAAAAAATTAAAGGAGAGTTTGAGAAAACAGTTCAACACATCAAGGTGAGGAGTCTTGGCATTTTTGCAAATTTGATTAGAACAGCTGGATTGGGTTGCCTGACATAATTGCATGTTCATGTATTGATTGGAATAAACACACACAGTTGTTTACATAAAATGGTGACCAAGCACAAGTCTCTGTTAGCTAGCTGCTTCATCAGAGGGGCGGAACTTACACGCAAGCTGCAATCCCATTGGCTGGCACTCACCTGTCACCTTTCGCATTTTGATGTCAACAAATTAGTTTGGGTGAACTGAGGCAATGTCATTAATATTCATGATCCCATTAGCCTGTCAGCCATTAGGTCGATCAGACACTCAGCTTTTGACAATAGCCTATACATATTACCTGATGTGAGCAAAAAGAGAAGTCCATCCATCCATTCTCCACACCACTTGTCCTATTGCTTGTCCCACAGCTAGTCTATCCCAGCGTCTCGGGCCAAGGCAGAGAAAAACCCTTGACAGATGACTAGTCTATCACAAGGCTAACACACATGAACACATTCAAAAAGAGAAATTATTTTTGACTACTGTAAGTTCACATTGTTAAACTGATGAAAATATTTTACTTCATTTTTAATAGTTAATTTTCATTTAAAGTATTTGTTAGTCTTCACAGAAACATTTAATGAATGTCTCAAGCACCACCGACATATTATTGTTTTCTTATTAAAAATACATTTGAAACTGCTTCATTTTGTGAAGAGATTTTATGTCTGCAGAATAAGTCATGATTTTGAGACGATTGAAGTGAATGTGATTTGATTTCAGTCTCAAGCTGATCACACAGAGCATCAGATTAAACAGCAGTTTGAGAAGCTTCATCAGTTTCTCAGAGATGAAGAAGAAGCTACAATCACTGCACTGAGGGAGGAAGAGGAGCAGAAGAAGCAGATGATGGAGGAGAAGCTGGAGGAGATCAACAGTCTCATCTCAGCTGTTTCATACTCGATCAAAGACATGGAGGAGATGATGAAAGCCAGTGACGTCTGCTTTCTGAAGGTCTGATTTCAGATCATTGATTGATTGATTGATTGATTGATTGATTATTTATTGAGTTGTTGATGATCAATGGTGTGTTTGTTCTGCAGAAGTTTCCAGTCTCAATGGAAAGGTGAGTGATCTGCTGCTGTCTCTGCTCTCTCTGCTTCTGATCCAAAGCAACTGCAGTTCTGATCCTGAATGTTCTTCCAGAGTCCAGATCTCATTACAGCCGGATCCACAGACGCCTTCTGGAGCTTTGATTGATGTGCCGCGTTACTTGGGCAACCTGCCCTTCAGAGTCTGGAAGAAGATGCAGGACACCATCCAGAACAGTGAGTATGGAGAAGATCTGAGCTGTCACTACTCATTAATTTCTATGGTATCTGCAAACAGTGATTGACAATCGTAAAACCATGAAGGAGATTCAATAGCATCAGGATATGTTGTGATTGGCTTATAAGACACACATGATCCAAGTTGATGGTTACGCTTTCTCTAATGGTATAGTTGAGGAGGTTGGTATCTCCTCATATAATAAGAAAATCTCTGGTTTGTCTGACTGAAAATGAACAGGGAGATCCTCTGAGTTTCAGTGTGTGTGTGTGTGTGTGTGTGTGTGTGTGTGTGTGACTGATGGTGTGAAAAGTTTAAAATGCATAATATTCGTTATTGTACTTGAAAATCATGTTTAAGTCATAATTCTCAGTTATTTGTGAATTAAATCAGCTGTAAAAGGGCGAGCTGTTTAAAGCCATTGTGCAAGAATCCAGTGTGTCCAAAGTGCTGGAATGCGGACATGGTTTATGCATTTCCTTCTGTAGGGATATGCTACTTTAGATAAAAACTAGCCTTTAAATAATATTAAAATAACGGCAATTAATGCTCATGCATCTTTCCTGTTGCCATAGCAGTTTCAAGTTAAATAAAACAAAGATGTTTGCATACATATCTTCCTATATTTCAATGCATTTCATATTTCCCCTCATAATCTGGCAAGCAGTCTATCACCAGCCAATTTATTTTAAAGGGGTCCTGAACTGGCTTTTTTTATTATTATTTTATACTGTTGTCTGACGTCTACTTATGACATCCGCGTGGTTTTTACGTTCAAAAACATCAAAATCAATAAGTAATAGGCTATTTTCTAACCTGGTTTTGAGGCTGGCTCGAGAAACGCTCGGGGGCGTGCTGCATTGAAGACTTGGAAGTAAATGCCCACTGCTATGATTGGATAACAGTTTTGCATAGTAAACACCTCCGGTTACTGTCGTAACCTCGGTTCCCTGAGAGACGGGAAAGAGACATTGCGTCAGGAATCTGACACGATGGGGGACTCCCTTCCTTCCTTAACCTACCTGAAATCGTATTGCACAACGCCAACTTCACAACATGAAGTTGCACTTCACACTGGCCAATGCTAGCCAAGACGGTGAAAAGGGGCGGAGCCACACCGTTATATAATGCACCGTCTTGGTAGCATAAACTCAGAATCTTCCGACTGAACTACCAGCACAGCAGATCTGAGCAGTGAACACGGCCGTGTACGCAATGTCTCATTCCCGTCTCTCAGGGAACCGAGGTTATGACAGTAACTGGAGACTCTCCCTTTTGAAGACGGTTCACTTCGACATTGCGTCAGGAATCTGATGCTATGGGGACTTTATAGAACAAAGCCGTGAGAACAGGGAAGAGAAAGCTCAGCCTTGGCAGAGCTAACAGTGCGCTACACACCAAACACTCCCCAACCAATCACAGACGACCCCTTGACAGGCCCCCAGGCCGTCAAAACAGCCGTTTTGTTGAGAGAACGCTTATGCCAATGTACTAAAGTTAGGACGTTATAGAGCACAGCAATATGCATGTATATAAGCATGTAAATGCAAAATATAATAATGCAGACACAGGATGTGAGCGGCGCGGCCGGGCACAACGATAACAGTATATACACTCAGCAAGCAGCCATAGCCGGTACTAGTGCATAAACACAAGAAGCCATAAACAAGCCGGTGCACACCGCGAGGACAGAGACGAACTGCCATCTTGTGTCTAGCTAATCCTTAAGCAGTAATACAGCGAGAGGGCGAAGCGCACAATAACAATATGTGTCACAAAGCTCACTCCAGTGGTACTAAGTGAGCACCGCTGTCTGGGTATGGTGGTTGCCCCGTCTCCGAATTCCAACTATACGACCTAGTCAAAACCACATAGAGTCTAGCGGCTAGAAGCCACATGTGGAAGCACTGGTTGAGCTCACAGACAAGACCTGTGAGGCCAAGGAGCACATGTCCAAATTGTAAAATCTGGCGAAGGTATTCAGCGAAGACCATCCAGCCGCCATACAAATGTCTTTGATAGAAACGCCCTTAGTCCAAGCCCACGAGGAGGCGACCACTTTCGTAGAATGAACTCTAACGCCAATGGGACATTCTATTTCCTGGCTAGAATAAGCCAACGCAATCGCATTGACTACCCAATGTGATAGCCGCTGCTTAGAAAGAGGCTGCCCTTTAGTTCCGCCTGCAAAGCACACAAACAGCTGCTCAGATTGACAAAACTGAGCCGTGCGGTCAACATAAGCATGCAAAGCTCGTACAGGACATAGGACATGATGAGGGCTATGGAGTGAAAGCAGAAAGCGTCACCACTTGCACTCTGAACGGCGTCGAGAGTGACTTGGGCATGTAGCCCAATCTTGGCTTGAGTGTGACATTACAATCACCTGGTCCAAACTGCATGCAAGCAGCATTCACAGATAGCGCTTGTAAGTCCCACACGTGCTTGACCGAAGATTGACTGAAGCCTGAAGCAGCTCAAAAGGCGGCAGAGCCAGCGCCCCCAGCACCAGAGCCAGATCCTAGGATGGCACAGTGGGAGGGTGAGAGGGTCTCAGCCGTCTCACACCTCTCAAAAATCTGATCACCAAATCGTGTTTACCAACCGAGTGCCCATTGATAGTAGTGTGAGAGGCTGAGATAGCTGCAACATAAACCTTAAGGCATACTGCCGCTGTTGCAGAAAGCCCAGAATGTCAGACACGGGACAGTTCTCCGGGTTGCAGCCATTTGATTCACACCATTTAACAAAGACTGCCCATTTAAGAGCATACAATCGTCTCGTAGAAGGGGTTCGCGCCTCCATAATCGTGTCCATCATGCGGCGAGACAGGAGGTCCCGTCTCAGCAGGATCTGCCACGGGGAAACCGTCAGTATCTCCAGCAGGTCAGGGAACCATGGTCTGTTTGGCCAGTATGGAGCGATTAGAATCACCGGCGCCCTCTCCTCTTTGATTTTGTGCAACACTTGTGGTAAAATCTTCAGCGGGGGGAACGCATACAGATGGGCTTTCAGCCACGGCATTGTGAGTGCGTCCCCACCCAGGGGAGAGCGTGACAGAGAAAAGAACAGCGGGCAATGCGTGTTCTCCTCTGTCGCAAACAGATCCACTTCTGCCTTCCCGAACCGCTCCTAGATCAGTCTCACTGATCCGGGGTTCAGCCTCCATTCTCCGTGAAGAATCCCATTCCTCGATAGCATATCTGCGCCACTCTTCAGGCAACCCGGGACGTGCGCTGCACGAATGGAGAGCAGATGGTGATTGGCCCACAGCAACACTCGTGCCGTCTGTTCGCAGAGGGCTTTCAAGCGTACCCCGCCTTGGCGGTTTATGTACGATACGACCGATGTATTGTTTGGGCGAATCAGCATATGATGTCTCCGTACCTGCATGAGGAAGCTCCGGAGGGCTAAAAAGGCTGCTTTCAGCTCGAGGCGATTTATGTGCCACATCCTCTCCGACTCCGTCCAGGAGCCCGAGGCTGGTATGCCGTCGCAATGCGCTCCCCAGCCCGTCATCGACACGTCCGTCGTGACCAGTCCCATCTGGACGCCGCGCCGGTACAGATTGGGGGCTCGCCATGGTTTCAGCGCACTCAGGCACCTGCGAGTGACCACCACGCGAGCGTGGGAACCGCCGCGGTGGAGATTTGACACTCAACGCAGAGGCAAGAGCATTACCGGTTGCACGGGGAGGCTGTGAGCCCGAGTCTGTTAACGATTCCCCCACCGAACATAGAGTGTGTGGAACCGTTATAACTGGAGGAGGAGAGGAATGCTCTTTTTGTGAGGGTGTCACAGACTTTATTACATTCTGAACAGACACAACAGAGACATTCTCGTGGTCGCCTGCAACCGCCAAGGAGACCTCGTGTGAACATTTCGGTCGCTTTACGGCGGGCCCGCCGCTAGGCATTCTCCTTCTCCGAATAATCCCTTCAGGAACGAGACCTATGATCCAATGGAGGGGGGCCCCCAGGACAGCCATCCTTCTTCTTGGGACTGTGACGCAAGTCCTCTGTCATGCGGTTTTGGCACGAACAGAAGGCTCCTGATCTGGCGTCGATGCAGCGGGAGCTGGGGGGGCATGCTTCGCTGGGCGGCAGGAAGCAGACGTTGACCTACTTCGTGCTGAGGGCTGCAGCGCTTTAGCACGGCGTTGCAGGAAGAGACTCATTGCTTTGGAGCGTTTCTGAGCTTCTGAAAAGAGCTCCGCGATGGCCTCCACGGCATCTCCAAAGAGGCCGGAGGGAGACAAAGGCACATTGAACAGAGCCTTCCTGTCCACGTCCTTTAGCTCTGTCAGCATCAGCCACAGATGCCGGTGGAGCACCACCATGTAACCCATGCTTCGTCCGATGGCCTGGGCCGTCTTTTTAGTGGCTTTTAAGGCGAAGTCCGTCACCGCACGCAGATCCTTAAACGCCTCAGGATCCGTCTCCCCCTCGTCCAGGGATTTCAGGAGCTGTGCCTGAAAAACCTGTAGCACTGCCATCGTATGAAGCGCTGAAATCGTCTCTGTCGAGGCAGCGTATGCTTGATCCGCGATGTGGGCGGTCAGACGGCAGGGCTTCGATGGCAGCATCGCCTCCACTTTCAGAGAGGCCGACGAGGGGCAGAGGTAGGTGGCGACAGACTCCTCGATGGGCGGAATGCGCATATAACCTCGTGCCTTTTATTGAAAATATGTGATCCACCAGCGTGGGTGCGAGCCGACTGGGGCGCAGCCCACGCCTCAGCGACTTCCTCGTGCAGATCGGGAAGGAATGGGGCTCGCTTCCTAGGCACAGGAGCTCGGCAGCCCGAGGAAAGGAACCAAGAATCCAGCTTACTCTTAACAGGTTTCTTTAAGAGTACTGCTGAGTACCTACTGCTGCTTCCGCATGGGCGAGACCCAGGCACAGGATGCAGTACTCGTGGGTGTGCGGAGCTTTGATGGGTCCCGAACACAGCGTGAAATAGCTTGACATGCTGGAACGCCAAGAGGGAAATCCGTCTTCTTGCGTCTTCTCCACAGCTGTCTTGAAGTAGGATGCTTGAAAGATGAAGATTCTGAGTTTATGCCACCAAGACGGCGGATTATATAGTGGCAAGGCTCTGCCACTTTTCGCCATCTTGGCTGGCATTGGCCAGTGTGAAGTGCAACTTCCTGGCGTTGTGCAATAACATTTCAGGTAGGTTAAGGAAGGGAGGGAGTCCCCCGTCGCGTCAGTCGAAGTGAACCATCTTCGAAAGGGAGCTAACTTTCTGTGTGTTTGTTTGACAATGCAATGTCCTTCGTAATTGGAGCCTTCTGTGACTTTGGTTAGACACGTACACATAATCAGGACATATCAAATGATCTCTAACAAAGCAATAGTGACACATAATACAAGTTTTGTACAAAGCATTGCTTTTTAATCTCAGTCTCTCTGCAAATCCAGCGTCGCCCTGTGTCTTGTTTACAAAGGAATCCTCAGTGACATAAAGTTAAACCACGCATTCCTAATATTTGAATCCGAAGGAAGGTTATGCAGCGACTGTGTTCTTCCACAACCAGGCACTGCACAATATTTTATGATCTTTAACGGCATGTTTATTGCGTGGTTGCTCGATCCGGTTTAGCGCCACTTATGTTATTTCCCTACTGTGTCATGCGTGAATCAGTGGGCGGGGCTACAGAATTAGGTTTTGATATTCTTCTGTGGAGGCGGTGTTTAACCTATCTATGACGTCATTCATAGGCACATTCCATGATCTGGTGTTCGCTGGACCTGGTGTCAATAAAAGCTTTTGTTTCAGTAACAAGGACGTTTTCAGTTCTGAAACTTACAGGATATTATTTTAGTACAATGGTCTCTTATATGTCAAAAGCTCAAGTAAAAGCTGATTTCTCAATTCATGACCCCTTTAAAAAACACAAATATATATATTTTTTTTTTGCATGCACAGTGTGTGCTAAAAAGGTTTAAAATCTAAATGTTGCCATATAAACTGTATAACTTATACTATATGAACATATAACTTGTTTGTCCACAGTTTGAAAGTACCAGGACAGTTTAAATGACTGAATTACTGACTAAATAATAATGAAGAAAAACAAAAGCACAACCTGTGTTTATGGGTAAGAGGTTAAATGTTCTTATTAAATATTGCTTCTTGAGTAAATGTGACTTCAAGCATAAAGTTAAGCACTGGGAAAGCATATCTCAAGCACTCTGTCAGTACCTTACGCAGTAACCGGTGTCGTGAGAAACCGGGTCCTTCAGGACGACAAGCTATCCTGCTTGTTCAAAGAACTTTTAAAGGGTACACGCAGACATGTTAAAGGAACACGCCACTATTTTTGAAAATAGGCTCATTTTCCAACTCCCCTAGAGTTAAACAGTTGAGTTTTACCGTTTTCTAATCCATTCAGCCGATCTCTGGGTCTGGCGGTAGCACTTTTAGCTGCAGCTTAGCATAGATCATTGAATCTGATTAGACCGTTAGCATCTCGCTCAAAAATGACCAAAGAGTTTCGATATTTTTCCTATTTAAAACTTGACTCTTCTGTAGTTACATCGTGTACTAAGACCGACGGAAAATGAAAAGTTGTAATTTTCTAGGCTGATAGGGGAGTTGGAAAATGAGCCTATATTTTCAAAAATAGTGGCGTGTTCCTTTAAGACCTAATATAATGACCATGAACAAATGTTGCTGAAGATACACAGAATGTTTACAGTTTTTCATCTATAGCACAAGTCAAAACAGGTCTACCTGTTATATTGTTGACTATGAATTACACCTGAAGTGCACACATCCAACAGGCCAAGAGCTCATTGTGGGTGCACAACCACAAAAAGTTCATTTTAGGCTCAAAATGTCATCTGTGGTGAGAACATAAATATTTTTCTACTTTTGGAGCTGTGGTGTGCCAACTTTGATCTTCCTTTATATTGTTAACTATCCCATAGTATCAGTTACTCTTGACATAAGACAGACATACTGAATCACATATTCAACACTCAAAACTCAGTGGTTGATGTAATGCAACATTAAACACTGATAATAAAAAAATAGTGTGTAACTAATAACAGCACTGACAGTGATCGATAGGACGAGTGCCATAATTCATAATAATCTGTGTTTGGTTCACTCTTGATCATTATATGAACATCAGAACAAAAGCGGCTGTTGATTGTGTCTCATCAGCTCCGGTGATTCTGGATCCAAACACGGCTCATCCACTTGCTGCCGCATGGGCGAGACCCAGGCACAGGATGCAGTACTCGTGGGTGTCCGGAGCCTTGATGGGTCCCGAACACAGCAATAACTCGACATGCTGGAACGTCAAGAGGGAAATTCGTCTTCTTGCGTCTTCTCCACAGCTGTCTTGAAGTAGGATGCTTGAAAGATGAAGATTCTGAGTTTATGCCACCAAGACGGCGGATTATATAGTGGCAAGGCTCTGCCACTTTTCGCCATCTTGGCTGGCATTGGCCAGTGTGAAGTGCAACTTCCTGGCGTTGTGCAATAACATTTCAGGTAGGTTAAGGAAGGGAGGGAGTCCCCCCAGTCGAAAGTCGAAGTGAACCATCTTCGAAAGGGAGCTAACTTTCTGTGTGTTTGTTTGACAATGCATCGTAATTGGACATGAGCTGAAACTTAATTAAAAATAAAGTTCAACCACGCATTCCTAATATTTGAATCCGAAGGTTATGCAGCGACTGTGTTCTTCCACAACCAGGCACTGCACAATATTTTGTAATCTTTTATGGCATGTTTATTGCGTGGTTGCTCGATCCGGTTTAGCGCCACTTATGTTATTTCCCTACTGTGTCATGCGTGAATCAGTGGGCGGGGCTACAGAATTAGGTTTTGATATTCTTCTGTGGAGGCGGTGTTTAACCTATCTATGACGTCATTCATAGGCACATTCCATGATCTGGTGTTCGCTGGACCTGGTGTCAATAAAAGCTTTTGTTTCAGTAACAGGTAGGTTAAGGAAGGGAGGGAGTCCCCCGTCGCGTCAGTCGAAGTGAACCATCTTCGAAAGGGAGCTAACTTTCTGTGTGTTTGTTTGACAATGCAATGTCCTTCGTAATTGGAGCCTTCTGTGACTTTGGTTAGACACGTACACATAATCAGGACATATCAAATGATCTCTAACAAAGCAATAGTGACACATAATACAAGTTTTGTACAAAGCATTGCTTTTTAATCTCAGTCTCTCTGCAAATCCAGCGTCGCCCTGTGTCTTGTTTACAAAGGAATCCTCAGTGACATAAAGTTAAACCACGCATTCCTAATATTTGAATCCGAAGGAAGGTTATGCAGCGACTGTGTTCTTCCACAACCAGGCACTGCACAATATTTTATGATCTTTAACGGCATGTTTATTGCGTGGTTGCTCGATCCGGTTTAGCGCCACTTATGTTATTTCCCTACTGTGTCATGCGTGAATCAGTGGGCGGGGCTACAGAATTAGGTTTTGATATTCTTCTGTGGAGGCGGTGTTTAACCTATCTATGACGTCATTCATAGGCACATTCCATGATCTGGTGTTCGCTGGACCTGGTGTCAATAAAAGCTTTTGTTTCAGTAACAAGGACGTTTTCAGTTCTGAAACTTACAGGATATTATTTTAGTACAATGGTCTCTTATATGTCAAAAGCTCAAGTAAAAGCTGATTTCTCAATTCATGACCCCTTTAAAAAACACAAATATATATATTTTTTTTTTGCATGCACAGTGTGTGCTAAAAAGGTTTAAAATCTAAATGTTGCCATATAAACTGTATAACTTATACTATATGAACATATAACTTGTTTGTCCACAGTTTGAAAGTACCAGGACAGTTTAAATGACTGAATTACTGACTAAATAATAATGAAGAAAAACAAAAGCACAACCTGTGTTTATGGGTAAGAGGTTAAATGTTCTTATTAAATATTGCTTCTTGAGTAAATGTGACTTCAAGCATAAAGTTAAGCACTGGGAAAGCATATCTCAAGCACTCTGTCAGTACCTTACGCAGTAACCGGTGTCGTGAGAAACCGGGTCCTTCAGGACGACAAGCTATCCTGCTTGTTCAAAGAACTTTTAAAGGGTACACGCAGACATGTTAAAGGAACACGCCACTATTTTTGAAAATAGGCTCATTTTCCAACTCCCCTAGAGTTAAACAGTTGAGTTTTACCGTTTTCTAATCCATTCAGCCGATCTCTGGGTCTGGCGGTAGCACTTTTAGCTGCAGCTTAGCATAGATCATTGAATCTGATTAGACCGTTAGCATCTCGCTCAAAAATGACCAAAGAGTTTCGATATTTTTCCTATTTAAAACTTGACTCTTCTGTAGTTACATCGTGTACTAAGACCGACGGAAAATGAAAAGTTGTAATTTTCTAGGCTGATAGGGGAGTTGGAAAATGAGCCTATATTTTCAAAAATAGTGGCGTGTTCCTTTAAGACCTAATATAATGACCATGAACAAATGTTGCTGAAGATACACAGAATGTTTACAGTTTTTCATCTATAGCACAAGTCAAAACAGGTCTACCTGTTATATTGTTGACTATGAATTACACCTGAAGTGCACACATCCAACAGGCCAAGAGCTCATTGTGGGTGCACAACCACAAAAAGTTCATTTTAGGCTCAAAATGTCATCTGTGGTGAGAACATAAATATTTTTCTACTTTTGGAGCTGTGGTGTGCCAACTTTGATCTTCCTTTATATTGTTAACTATCCCATAGTATCAGTTACTCTTGACATAAGACAGACATACTGAATCACATATTCAACACTCAAAACTCAGTGGTTGATGTAATGCAACATTAAACACTGATAATAAAAAAATAGTGTGTAACTAATAACAGCACTGACAGTGATCGATAGGACGAGTGCCATAATTCATAATAATCTGTGTTTGGTTCACTCTTGATCATTATATGAACATCAGAACAAAAGCGGCTGTTGATTGTGTCTCATCAGCTCCGGTGATTCTGGATCCAAACACGGCTCATCCACTTCTCATCCTGTCTGATGATCTGACCAGTGCGAGCTGGAGTGACAACAAACAACCAGTTCCTGATAATCCAGAGAGATTTGACATCTATCGCTTTGTTCTGGGTTCAGAGGGTTTTAACTCAGGAACACACTGTTGGGATGTGGAGGTTAAAGAGAGTCTATGCTGGCATCTTGGAGTAACTACAGCATCAAACCAGAGGAAGGGAGATGATTTCTTTGATACTGGTCTCTGGAGTGTGCAGCACGGACTGGCTGATTATTTTGGTTTTCCTGTCAAACAGAATCTTCAGAGGGTGAGAGTTGATCTGGACTATGACAGAGGAACGGTGTCATTCTCTGATCTTGTAACTAACACACATCTACACACATTCACACCCACCTTCACTGACACTGTCTTCCCATTCTTCTATAGTTTTGCCCCTCTGAGGATCTTACCGTTCGATAGTCAGTAAATGTTACAGCTGTAGGTCTGGATCTTCCTGCTTTCATCATGTTTCCAATATTTAATCCATATCACACGAGTAAGAGTGCTGTTGATCTGAATATCAGTAGTCTACGGCTGTGATTGGGCTGCAGCTGATCACATGAGTGATATCAGCACTACAGACACACTGTCAGTGCAAACTATAATGTTTCACATTGCTTTGGTTTCTTTGTCATTGTTTTCACCTTGAACACATGGTAGACATACTACTTCCGTCTTGAGCTTTACTTTTTCACTAACTGTTTATGAACGTACAGATGCATCCTAAATGCCTGTAAGAGCTATACTCTATTGTGCTTATGGGTAAATTCAAAAGTTTATAATTTTATGATATCTTCAATTTTTTATTTCAATCATGACAACGCTCAAAATAGTTTAGTATGCTGATGGATATAACAACGTTAATGTTTTTGGTCTTGGTGGGATAGATATGTTACGCTGCTGCTGCTGATTACTGCTACTTCTGTTATTGTTGCTGCAAGTATAAATAAGTGATAATTAAATTAGAACAGAGAGAATATGTATGATGCAAATAGAAAAAAGCTTCAACCAATAACATCACTCACAGAAATCAGATGAAAATGTCAGTAACAAGTGTATATGAACATTACTTGACATGTATTTATATATCATCATAGTGTTTGCTGTACTGCCTTTATAATTTATGCTGATTTAAATAAATAAATATCAGAAAGCAAAAAAAGCTTAAATACTGTATATATACAGTTGTGCTCAAAATTATTCATAATTACTCGTATTATTTAGTGTTTTTGAGTTGTCAAATATAGCTTTTATATATATATATATATAGCTTTTATCTATATATATTTAACTATTTGACTATCCAATGTTCCTGTTGGATAGTCAGGTAATGCTTGTTCAATCCTGTAATATAATAGCAGCTATTAGTAAAATGACCTATGGCATTCTCTCTCTTGTGTGGTTCTTTATACCAAGTTCCCACATGTTATTTGATGCTATAAAAACAGGGCGTGGCGTCGTGATTGTGTGCTTGTGACTGGATCTGCAGGAGTTTGGGTAAGACTTTGATACAGCGGCTCCAGCTCATGATCATTACTGCACAGACTCGGGCTCCAAATAAATCACTACTGTGCAGACTTGGGCTCCAAATGACGTCACTGGTGTAAGATGACAGCCACCATAGCTGGGTTATTTTAGCCTCACTTTTCTAGCGGACGAAAGTGCAGACACGTTTTCCTCATCTGCAATACGTCTATAGGATGTTTCCTATTAGATGTCAAATAGACGTCTATTTGATGTCTTTAAGATGTTTATGATTTAGAATGTATGTAAAACTGACATCTGAAAGATGTCTGTCAGACATTTGTAGGCAGTAGATGCTTTCCAGATCAAGAGATCTTTAACAGACGTCTTGCAGACGTACGTGTGCTCAATAATTCTAGTTCTAATCACATCATGACAGCACTGAAGGCGAGCACAGACACCAATTGGGATAAATATCAAGATTGGTTTATAAATGAAAGGCCATTTTACAATTTTAACAAGCTTTCAAAATGGAATATGACAATAGTTGAAACATAGTGAGCATGTGTGTGAACATCACCTAGAATCATTAACATAAGTCATTTTGATGTATTGTTTTTCTCAGGTGATGTTGTTTGATGGCAGCTTTGCAGAAAATAGTCCCTTGCAAACACATACATGAACAGAGCTTCAGACATGAGGAATTTGTTGTGGGGTGTTTTAGGAGCTCTGGGTACATATCCATTATATCACACACGAGTGGGCGCTGAGGAATGATAATAGTGCTTTGTAGAATTTGAGCTCACTTATTTTTTACGTTTTGTGGCCCTCGATAGTATTTAGGCTTTGGTGCTTTTTAGCATAGCAGCCACAAATACAGCCGTTCTCAGCTGCACAAAGATCAGTCTTTAAAATATATATAAAAAATAGAAACATTTAACTCTGAATTAGATTTTTTTTTTTACTTTTTGTCAGAAATGAGGGGCTTATACTGAATGAACACACACACACACCTCTAAAATTAAGTAACGACACCAAACTGATCAGTTTATAAGACTATTCAGTTTGGATATGGTTTATTTCATCATATTGAATGTTTGAATTAAGACAACACCAATTATGCAGCTTCATTGCGTAATAATGTGCTTTCTAAACTAGTGACCAGTTCTTCATTATTTTGTATATGTTTGGTTTTAGATCTATAGCAGGTGCGAACAGTGAGGAACAGTCATTAAAGTGAAGCGTGGGTCGGGTGGGTTTGCTATAAACCAGTGAAAATAATAAAAAATGAACAATAAGTAGCCTAATAATTTGAAAAATTCTTTCCAAAACATCTTTTTTTTACCTTGGTGTTCCTTACACTCGCTAATGTTTTAAGATGTTTTAACTCAAACTTAAAGTGTACAAAGTTTGGTGCCTTTTTTGACCGTCAATATTTATGAATATGATATTTACTAATGAATTAAGAACAACATTTTTCTTATATTAAGGTTGGTCATAAAAAGATCTTCCACAAAATTGTCAGCTTCAGAAATGTCCTTAAAGGAAACTTTAAAATCACACCAGAATATATATATATATATATATATATATTTTATTTATTTTTTATTTTTTTACAGTCTATGGTCCCAGATCTGAAAAATGCCAAATCTCATTGCGCCACACTATCTCTAATACAGCTTTGGAGTGTTATTTTAGGCTAAGCATGGCCCTGAAATTCACAGATGTTAAGGAAAACTTTGCAGTGTAAGTCATTAATACAGGAGATACGTCATGTAAGTTGTCAAGTGCAAAGACCGTAACCACTGAAATAACCACTGAGACAGACATTGTGCAACAGACCTCAAAAACTCCACCCAAATACAACACTTACCAGGAAGAGACTGACTTATTTCTCCTCTCTGTCATACCAGCTCTCTTCTTTCTTGACAAAAGCAAAAACATAATAAAAAGAATCGGCGTTCAATAAAGATTGAAGAGAACAACTTTCAAAATGGATTTTTGAGAAGTTTGTTTTTAAACAGAAGGCAGATCTTTGTGATTCTTGTTTTTCATTTTTGCGACATCATTCAGAAAGTGAAAGTAAAGTTTAGATCGCTGGAACTCAAACAGCGAAAATGGCTTCACTATCGGAAGATGATTATTTTTGTCCTGTGTGCTGTGAAATCTTCAAGGATCCTGTTGTTTTATCATGTAGTCACAGTGTATGTAAAGAGTGTCTTCAACAGTTCTGGAGAACCAAGGAAACTCAGGAGTGTCCTGTCTGCAGGAGAAGATCCTCAAATGATCATCCTCCATGTAATTTTGCGTTAAAAAACTTGTGTGAGTCGCTCCCGAAGAAGAGAAAAGAGAGCCATTCATCAGAGTCTGAGGAGCTCTGCAGTTTACACAGTGAGAAACTCAAACTCTTCTGTCTGGAGGACAAACAGCCGGTGTGTTTAGTGTGCAGAGATTCACAGAAACACGTCAATCACACATTCAGACCCATCGGTGAAGTTGTTCCATCATACAAAGTAAGACAGACCTATGTGGATTAAAACTTAAATCATAAGTTGTATATTAACAATGTATAAATTTCTCAGTAGGCTACCATTTTGCTCATTCCTTGTAGCTATTACATTAATGAACATATTAAAGAAATCTCTGGTTTCTTATATTCACTTTAAATTCCAGGAGGAGCTCAATACAGCAGTGAAGTCTTTGCAAGAGAAACTTAAACACAAAGAAAAAATTAAAGGAGAGTTTGAGAAAACAGTTCAACACATCAAGGTGAGCACTGATTCTTCTGACATTATTCACAAATTTGTTTAGAACAGCTGAATTGTTTGGCGGGAGGAGAATCTTCCATATGACGGCGCGTTGTTCACTCTGAGTGTAGATCCGGTGTGCTGTGTTTGTAGAAGTCTAGCATTCCGATCAGCATTGGCGCCTCTAAGGCCTCCATTCTTGTAAAACTCCGCCTCCACTTGTTCATGGGAGGATCACTTTGAACTTGAAAAGTACAAAACTCACAAGCAAGCATGGAGACAACATACTCAACCATGTTTTATTTCCCTTGTAAATGAGATGAATTTTGTGTTCACGCAGCAGTTCGTCCAAGTGTTTAACTCACTGTATCTCAGTTGGACTAACGTGCCTTAACCTTTAACCATCTGCACTTTCAGTGAATCATTTTAGGCGAACACATACAACATGTTTAATATTCATGAGCCCAACAGTTGACAATATGCATAAATCTTAATGAAGATGTGAGCTGAGAGAAGTCGTCATTGACTATTGAAAGTTAAAAGATGACAATAATTTAAAATTGAAGTAACTTTTAGTTTTCATCTCAATTCACAGAAACACTAAATTAATGACAATGTCTCAAGCATCAGCAGCTCATAACTGTATTTAATTTATGCATTCATTCATATGTGTGAATTTGTTCTTTACATATTTATATATATATATATGTGTGTGTGTGTGTGTGTGTGTGTGTGTGTGTGTGTGTGTGTGTGTGTATGCAT